GGTTCCCATGGAGGGGGTTCATCCTCATCTTCCTCTTGTTTCACCAGGAGGCAGAAAAGTCTCTTGCACCTGTGCCCTGCCGAGTAGGGTTCATCGCAATTAAAACATTGCCCCCTCGCCCTGCGTTCTGCCATCTCAGCCCTTGACAAGTGCTTGATAGGAGGTGTACCGCCGTTGCTCCCCACACTGGGTGTTGATATGGAATTGGTGCTCGTCTGTGGCTTCCGTTCTGGGCTGGCTGCTGGATATGAGGCCATTCCGAGTGGTTCCCTGTTGTCTGCTAGTGRAGACCCTCCTCCAGTAGGCTTCGGGTTGGTGTTCCTAAGCTCGAGCACCCACAAATTACCGAGCAGCCTCCCATGATCGAGGAGGACTCGAGCAAGCCTACCCCACCCTGTATGCCCAAGGAGGCTACATCTTCAGAGCCCGTCCTAGTGGCCGCCACTTCTTCGGGTAGCGACGCTCTAGTCTGGAGCATTTTGACTTCGAAGTTCGGCCTTCTCAAGAGAAAGGATGCGGTGTTTGCTGAGGAGGTCGCTCGTTAGGTCGACTTGCCCGCCGCTTAGCTTGGGGCCCGTGCGGCTATGCACTGTATGGTGGTATGCTCTTGGACTTGTCTTTCAAATTGTCCTGTATGGAGACAGATCCTCCGGTCGATGTCTCCAGTAAGGATGGAGAGCCCCGAAGTGATTGAGTGCCTTTTTTCTTGGACCCCCCTACATACAATGTATATCCAAGGCCTCTGAGCTCGGTTGAAGTTTTTTTTTTGTACTCGAAGCTCTATATCAATGAAATACAAGTGTTTTGCAATATGTGTGCAAATTTTTCTAAGTGTAGATTAATCCCGAGCTGGTGAATTAAACCGAATAGGAGCAATTTTTTTTCTAAGTATAGGTTGTTGCCGAGCTAGTGAGCTTGACACTAGTAGGAATCATCTAATTGCCATTGTATGCCAGGGTGATCAGACACCTTAGGGTACATACCCGATCTGTTTACGCCTGGGTCGCTTATTTGCCTAAATGTTGGTTATCCCTAAGTGTCGAGCTAACGAGCTTGACTCCATGTGGGATTAACCTTACGTTGTTGTACACTGAAGTGAATTAGACACCGTAGGATTTGCACCCGAGCTGTCTATGCCCCAAGCGATTAAGACTTATCTGCCTATGCCAAAGAGGCGACTAGGACTTGTTCACCTATGCCGAAGAGGAAACTAGGACTTGTCTGCCTATGCCGAAGAGGCGACTAGGACTTGTCGTAGTGTCAAGGTCTTCTGTCAGCATGACGCCATAGCCCTTAGGCTTCTAAGAGTGACTCACTGTCTTTTTTCTAGTCAGTCATCTTTTTTTACCAGTTCGGTAGTCACATAGACTTGAGGAAATTTTGCCTTTGAGTTGCAAGTTCGTAAGTAGTACCTTCTTAGGTTATCGATATTCCATCTCGTGGTACTTGCTTCCCTTCCAAAGTCTCG